TCGATAGAAAACATTTAAACGAATGTTTGTTAAAAGATAAAGTAATCGATTTTTATTATTAATCATTTCATAAAAAGCCTACCCTCCCACATAACAACTCAACCAGCCACCCACCAGAGGTCGCAAACGGGTTTTGATTCCTTACCCGTACCTGACTGCACCAGGGTCACAAACGGTTAGGGTACAGGTATCGGGCACCTGATTGCGACCTCTGGGATGAAGCCATGTTGCAGGCGCGGGTGGGTTGATTCTAGGAACTTGAATTGTGAGAAGAGACAAGACGTTGGGAAATGAGTGACAAACAGTTACTCACCAGTGACTCACGGCCTACCCGTACCCGGCCGCACCAGGGTCGCAAACGGGTACCCGTACCCGGCCGGGTACGGGTAGCCGGGTGTCGGGTAGGGTACGGGTATCAGGTACCTGGTTGCGACCTCTGCCACCCATCGAACGTAAAATAGACATTTCCGCAATATAATTCCTCCACTGACTACATGGCCCACAAGGCACACCTTTAAACACGTTAATAGGATCATTTTGTCAGTCCACAGGTTCAATGGGACCAGCATCTCTATTCTCTTCTTGCGTATGGCAGCAGCAGCAGCAGCGCCGTTTTCAGGATATTTTGAACGAGAACATCGAAGCCCCCTTGTGGCGAACAAACCTCACAATTTTTCTTGAACAAAAATTTTGACGAATTTTACAAATTCCAAGATTTTGAAAAAACTTTTACCTAAAATAAAATAGATTATCTAAAAATGTTTATTTAATATTTAGTCGTAAAAATAATACGTAAATTTTTTTAAACATTTATCTAAAAAATATATATTTTTTTTGTTACAAAAAGACAAATATTTTACACTCGATAGAAAACATTTAAACGAATGTTTGTTAAAAGATCAAAGAAAAGATTTTTATTATTAATTATTTTATAAAAAGCCTACCCACCCACATACCAACTCAACCAGCCACCCACCAGAGGTTGCAAACGGGGTTTGATTCCTTACCCGTACCCGTACCCGGCCGCACCAGGGTCGCAAACGGGTACCCGTACCCGGCCGTACCCGTACCCTACCCGTACCCAGCCGGGTACGGGTAGGGTACGGGTATCGGGTACCTGATTGCGACCTCTGGGATGAAGCCATGTTGCAGGCGCGGGTGGGTTGATTCTAGGAACTTGAATTGTGAGAAGAGACAAGACGTTGGGAAATGAATGACAAACAGTTACTCACCAGTGACTCACGGCCTACCCGTACCCGTACCCGGCCGCACCAAGGTCGAAAACGGGTACCCGTACCCGGCCGGGTACGGGTAGCCGGGTATCAGGTAAAGTACGCGTATCGGGTACCCGGTTGCGACCTCTGCCACCCACCCATCGAACGTAAAATAGACTTTTACGCAATATAATTCCTCCGCTGACTACATAGCTCACAAGACACAGCTTTAAACACGTGAATAGCAGCATATTGTCAGTCCACAGGTTCAATGGGACCAGTATCTCTATTCTCTTCTTGCGTATGGCAGCAGCAGCAGCGCCGTGTTTAGGATATTTTGAACGAGAACCTCGAAGCCCCCTTGTGGCCAACAAACCTCACAATTTTTCTTGAACAAACATTTTAACGAATTAACTTTTTTACAAATTGTAAAATAAAATAAAAAATTTTACGTTAAATAAAATAGATTAGCTAAAAAATTCTTTAATATTTTTGTCATAAAAATAATTTAAAGATTAAAAAAATTTTATTACAAAAATACATAAATATTTTACACTCGATAGAAAACATTGAAAGAATTTGTGTTTAAAGATCAAATATTTATTTATTATTTCTTTCATAACGAAACATAAAATGTAAAAAATACGGATTTTTGTAATAGAATGCAAAATAAATGCTTAGTACTAAAAATAAACAAACATTTTTGGAAAATACATTTCATTTTTTTCATAATAATTTCGAATTATTAGTTGTTTTGAGAAGTGTAGGTGATCATGTGCTTGCGAATATGGAATCCATTTCAAACTTAAAATAACTTCGACGGCGGTTCTCTTCGTGTGCGCAAACCACATACAGCGCTGCGCACAGAGGAGCCACGCGGCCTTACACCATCGACGCCTGTCGACAAGACCGACTGTTGCGTCTCATCCACCTGCCCAGCCACCGTCCTGCCCAGGGTCACGCCCAGCCAAACAACCCTTCAGCTACCCGCCCACCCAGCCAACCCACCCACCACCACCACCTACCAACTGAACCAGCCACTCACCTAGCCAGCCACCCACCCATCTGCCCAACAATCCGCCTACCCACCCACATACCAACTCAACCAGCCACCCACCCATCGAACGTAAAATAGACATTTACGCAATCTAATTCCTCCGCTGACTACATAGCCCACAAGGCACACCTTTAAACACGTTAATAGTAGCATGTTGTCAGTCCACAGGTGCAATCGGACCAGTATTTCTATTCTATTCTTGTATAGGGCAGTAGCAGAGATGTTAGAATAGGTGTTCCCCTTTTTTCTGGCAACAAACAGCTGTGTTTAGATGTTAAAACACCAAACTGAAACCTTTTACAAGGAATCATGTCTGCATTAACCACAATACTTGTGGTCAGAATGCAAACAAAAAGCATACTCTGATAATATACGCCTTCTGGCGTCCTCTGGTCTAACACCGTTTGAGAATCGGCTCCAATAAATCTGTCTCTGGTGTGGACCAATCCGTTTTAAAGACAATGCATATATTATATTCTTGGTTCTTTCGGTAAAGTCATGTAGAAGGGAAATAATAAAATAATAAAAATAATTGACTTTATTTTATTATTTCCCTTCTACGTGACTTTACCGAAAGAACCAAGAATATGAATCCATGCAGTCACGAAAGCTTTAAATCAAAATTTAATGCATATATTATCAGAGTGTTTTTGTTTTGCATTCTGACCACAAGTATTGCGGTTAATGCAGACACGATTCCTTGTTAAAGGTTTCAGTTTGGTGTTTTAACATCTTAACACAGCTGTTTTGTTGCCAGAAAAAAGGGGAAAACCTATTCTCATCTTTTGGTACTGGCAACGGAGGTCTCATGAAGTAGAGCCGTATACTGTTTAGTTCTTTAGGTAAAGTCACGTAGGTAAAAACAATTATATATCACGATGTCTTCACCTGAAGACGGTTGCTTGTGTGGCGATCGAAACGTCGTGATCTATTATTTTTTCTACCTACGTGACTTTATCCAAATAACTAAAGAGTATGAATTCCTGCAGTCACGAAAGCTTCAAATCCAGCAGACATGTGTTCAGGAATATTTTTTTACGAGAACCTTGAAAACTATTTAAACAGTTTCAATAATTGTTTTTCAATCAATGAATTTTTACATTTCAAAGAAAACATTGAAACGAAAATTTGTATAAAAGTTTTCCCTCCGCTGATTATAATAGCCCACAGGGCACACCTTAGACACATTCCTAGTAGCATTTTATCAGTCCACAGGTTCAATGGGACCAGCATCTTTATTCTATTCATGTGTATGGCAGCAGCAGCAGCGATGTTTCAGCAGCTAAATGCCAATGTCGCGTGAGGGTTTCTCCCTACGAAGGGGCTTCAAGGATTATTTTTGCAACATTTATTATAAATTGTACTTTGAAAATGTCTTCAAAATTTGTCTTCATTTTTTTCTTTAACATTTGCAAAGAACAAAGAACGAAAATGTTGTCTGTTAAAACATTCGTAAAACATTGAAATAACATTTCCAAGACATTTTAAACGCGAACCTTGAAGCCCTCTAGTGGCGAACAAACCTCACACAAAGTTTTCTTGAACAAAAATGTCAAAACAATTTCAACATACTTTTACTAAATTTTACTAAATTAGATTTCTACCGTGCTTGTTTACGGGTCCATTCCACACAACTCCCCCTCTGCCCCCCCATCTCTCTCTATTTAAGGCCTCGACACAGAGACGTTGTCTTTCTGTGTGCCTGTGTGCGTCTCTCTCGGTCTCTGTGTGAGTCTCTCTCTCTGTGTCTCTGTGTGTCTCCGTGTTTGTCTGTGTGTCTCTGTCTATGTTTTGTTTCTCTAAAATGTATCAATCTTTGGAGGAACGCAATCAACCAGGTGTTGTGTTGACTGTGGTGTTGGCCGACTCTCTGTGTTGTATTGTATTACATTTCCAAATTCTTGGTTATTTCGGTAAAGTCACGTAGAAGGGAAATAATAAAATAATGAAAATAAAACATAATAAAATACAATTTTCACGACGTTTCGGCCACAACGACTTTACAGAAAGAACCAAGAATATGAATCACGAAAGCTTTAAATCGAAATTTATATTTCCAAGTTTACTATGTTTGTTTTCTCATTCATATGTACTTGATGATGGTTGCTTGTGTTGCAATCGAAACGTCGTATTCTATTATTTAATTAAATTTCTTTCTACGTGACTTTACCGAAAGAAACCAAATAATAATTCCAGCAGTCACGAAAGCTTCGAATCTAGTTTGAATTTCCAACGTAGTTTTTTTTCTCTAACAATTTTTCCCCCTTCAAACATCTTAAGTCGGCGGAGTTTGCATTTTCCTCCTCCTTTCGCGGAGTTGCAAACGGCATTGTTTTAGTCACCGCACGAACTTCCCTCCCCCTCCCACCAAAGTCGCGTGTTTCTCTGAGACCACTTGCGTCAATTCAAATCGCAAGTGGTCACCCACCCCCACCACTACCCCACCCCTCCTCCACCACCCCCACCCCATCCGTGACTCCTCCCCGGATACGGTGGTGGGGGCTGGAGGGTGCGGGAGGCGTGGTCTCGCGTGAATATTAACGAGGCGACGGACCCAAGCCGCCTACTGAGTGGATCAGCTGATCGCCAGTGGGCGGTGACTTTGGTCAATTGTGGGCGTGACCGTGGAACGAGGCCCCGCCCACCATAAAAACCCACCCCCACTCATTGCAGCAACCCCCCCCCCCCGCCGCACCCAACTCCCCCCCCCCCCCGGTCTCGTTGTTAAAGTTCGGCTCCCAACTTCGCTCTGAGTCACACGGTAGGGGCCGAAGCAAGAGGAGACGCAGGCGTTTGGTGGTGGCGGTGTTGGTGGTGTTGGTGGTGGTGTTACCAGCGATCATTCCAAAGCAGATCTCTCATTCTCGGGTAAGTTTCACGGTTAAAGTTTTGTAGCCTCCCCCCCCATCCCCCCTCCCCATCCTCCCTCCCCCATACATGCTCAATGCACCGCTGGATGATGATGATGATGATAATTTGGGCGTCTTGCGCCAGTGGACTTGACCGGTTGCTTCGCCACATTGCGATCGGAAGTGTGAACCCGCAGCTGCCGCTGTTACATTCGCCACATGTTTGTGCGCGTGGCTACGGTGGTGGTGAAGTATGGTCAAAAGTAAGACCCCCCTACCCCCCCCACCCCCTCTACCAGGACTGCGTGGATTGGAACGATTTGATGGCTTGATCCATTCATTCATCAATGTTTGATTTAATTTTCTAAAGTATTGCACTCGTGTGCGCTGGTTGGGACATGCATACTCAATCCCACCCCCCTCCCCCCGGCCGTGTTTGTATCCCCACTTCCGCGATGCAGGTCGTATCTGCTGTATATGTATTTGTACCAGAGCGCACGTACACGCACGCACACACACACCGCACAGGCGAGCAGTCGATTGAACTTGATGGGTAAACTTGGTTGGAGAGACACGACCTTTCTGTGGCTGTGGGAAGAAATTAATTCGATTGTTGCCACTGGGTGTGCATGCTCGTCCGTGTGGGTGTACACGCACTAGGAGAGACAAAGGCAGCCGGGTGTGCTTTCCTCGGCCACACTACAACCACCAACAAACCACCTCGTGTGCCGTGTCGGCCTTCATAGGTACTCGTTAACAGCACTTGCCCCAACAGCCTGCTAAAGGCTACACACGGATGGGAACTTTTGTCCTGTGTGTGTGTGTGAGGAGCGGTGGCGCAGCGGTTGGCGCACTGCTGCTGTACGATTTTAGCTCAATTCACGCCCTCACGGCTCTCATCAGTGTCACATGTTGTTCGACTTTAAGCTCGTACTGTTTCGCTGCTGTGTGTTTATACTCGGCCCTTAATTGAAATACCTGGGTCTATACAGGCGGCCTATGCGTCGTCCTGGCCACACGAGACGCTCGTTTAAAGCTCGGCAGTGCAATCCCAGACCCATTTAGCCACCAGCAGTAGAAATTCCACATTCCTGCGGCGAGACTCATACCTTTAGACGTGACTTAACCGAAAGAACCAAATAATAATTCCTGCAGTCACGAAAGTCCTAAAATTAAGATTGAGACTCATACCTCCATTTTAAAATTGTCTTAACAACATACAACGTGTATTGACTGGCTGTGGAAGTTTTACGTGTAATCCTGCATGGCATGTCTCGGAAAACCGTTGTCCATTTAGTGGATAGGATTGATCAAAGTAGGCTGTGAATGTTGCATTTGGGGGGGGGGAGCGGTGGCGCAGTGGTTAGTGCAAGAACGCCGTGAACCCAGACGGATACCTGAGTTGGATTCCAGACCATGGCTTAAAACACCACTGGCGAATGTTAATCGGGCACCCGTCACACACACCTACCGGTGTTGACCGGCGTGGTGAAGTATGGTCAAATGACCGACACGGCTTGTTGGGTTGTGGGAGAGGCAATGGATTTACAACGGGGCTGTGTGTGTTTGCGTTCACCTGTAACTTTAGCCGAGGCCGGGCAGGAAGATGGGCGGTGCTGGTGGCATTGCTGTTGGCAAGAAGGCGATTGCATAAGATTTATGTTTTGAATGTGCACGGTGAAGTTTTTAAACGAATTGCAAACTTGTAAGAATCGATGACGGTCGGCGATTCTATTAGGTTGCGTACGAGTTTCGCTCTAACCACGTTGGGGTATGTAGTAGAGACCTGTAGGGGTGTGTGTGTATAACCTGTACCCGGGTGAATCTTTTGAGAACTTGTATCTATTGAGCTGTATATGGTCAGTCGCCAATCTTAGCTCGCACACAGTCAGTCGCCTCCCTGTCACTCTTCTACCGCTGCTGCCATTGTTAATATTCGCGTGATCTTCAATTATTGATGCCTTCTTCTTCACTTGTGTCGATCACTCAGTCTACCAGACACCCTGGCTGTTTATTCTCAACCATACTGTTTTAAACCATCACACTGCAGATATCACTCGCTCAGTCGCCCACTCACCCAGCCACTCGCCCAGCCACTCGCCCAGCCACTCGCGCACTCGCCCAGCCACTCGCCCAGCCACCCACCCACTCGCCCACTCACTCACCCACTCACTCACCCACTCGCCCACTCACTCAACTGCCGTCAATCGCCGCTAAGTGCGGGTGACGTCACCACAGCACCGGTGCCAGGCTATGTGCACTTTGAGGCCACGTGAAGTGTCGAAGGCTCGCTGATAGGTCACGGGCCAGACCACAAGGGGCCATGGTTTGACCGAATGAGATGAATGGAAGATGCACCAACTGTGCCAACTTGCTGTATTTTATCCACCCGGCGCTCCGCCCGTTGTTGTGAGCGTCGCTCCTCTGCACTCCGCTGTTGTTGGAGGGCAACTGCCTCCAAACCGCCCAGTAACCTCAGCGTGCACCTAGCCTGACACTGCCCTGTAGCGTCCTTCACGAGCTGCCTCATCCACAGAGGCCGGTCTTGACACCGCTGGTACCGGTCATCGGCAATTCCACTCAGCTCCACGTCCTCCCGTACCGCATCAGCCTCCATCTCTTCTCTAGTCCCTCCGGTTTGGCCCTCTTGATCTGGCCAAACAGAAGCTGCTTTTTTGGCATGCGGTGGCTGGGCATGCTGGCTACGTGACCCATTCACCCACTCACCTTATCACCTACTCGCTCACCATATCTACTCACTCGCCACACTGCAGGTAACCTCACCTCATTTCTCGCCCTCTCTCTCTGCTCTTTCCCTCCTCCCATCATCATCATCGCCTCTATCTTCTCAGTTCTCGTCATAAATCACCTTTATGACCTTTGTTTATTTCAAGTGACGCAGTTGTTTCCTCTTTATCTATTTACACTTTGATTATCACGGCGCTGTATATTTGCTGGCTGTGTTTGTTGCCCCCGTTCAGCGCACTCAGAATATCAGAAATCTTTTTTATTTACACTAGAGCTGTGAAGATCGATTTTTTTTCTACCGATGTCCATTAGTTTCACAGATGTCCAGCTAAAATAAATGAACGCAAATAATCGATTATTTTTATCGCGAATCGTTGCGCATCATCGAGGCTCTCAATCCCATAATTAAACTCTTTAATCTGGGATTAATGTGGCAGTTATTAATTGGTTGGCCGTATGAATTAATGAATTGATAGCTATACGAATGAAACACAACTGGTTAAAGGCGAGGATGCACGGGTAAGTGAATGAAAGAGTGGATAGAAGAAGCAACGGATGGAACATCTCAATATTGTACGAATGGTTGAAGGGATACACGAATGAAAGGGTGGAAAAACTCAATGAAAGCACGGAGGAATTAATTAATGCAATAAAAAATGAGTAACAAAATGACACGATGCGACGGTTGAACTTCTACGTGAATGAATTGACAAGCGAACGAAAAAATGTAAAACAAATCTGAATGGTGGAATTAAAGACGTTATCGATGAGGCAATTGATTGATGGGTTCGCTGAGTGGATACAGGAAAGTACGAACATATGTGAGCGTGTTGCATTCACGTCAACGTTCACTCGGTGATTCAAGCGTTTCGCAGAAACGTGGCGTCTGAAATAACGCTCAAATGTGGTGGCACACATGTGTAATATTTAATATTACACATTACCGGGGAGAGGTTAGATTCTGTAACAATGTTTGTCATTATTTTTGTGTAAAAAAAAAAAAACCTATTGACAAAATTAAGTGACCTCATGTTAGGCGTTTTGGTTTGTGGTTTCAAGAGCCAGAGGCTATAAATTTGAACATCCGTATCTACTGAGACTCGGCACGGAAATAAGTTCAACGTCCACCCACACACGAGCTGAGCAAATGTAATACATGCTGATAATGTGGCTCAGATACAAATATCACCTGCGTAGCCTTTAACAGACTGTTGGGGCGAGAGCTGTTGGCGAGTGGGTGGCCAGCCCCACTTTCGGTCACCTTTGTCTCCCCAGTGCCGATCGTTAATGCACCACGCAAAGCAGATACCCGTTTCAGGCCAAGTCGACCTAGGCGGTGCCCAGGACCGGTTCGACATTTTTTTTCCCTCTGCCACTGAGCGCGAACGGGACACACCTTCCCACTTGTGCGTGCGCACGCATCGTGCACCTATCCTGGCACACCTACACGCATGCCACTGTGGTGGTTGGCGTCTACCTCTATGGCGCTTGCGCCAGGCTAAGTGCACTTTGAGGCCGTCACGCGAAGTGTCCCGTGACAGACCCCCCCCCCCCCCAGGTGTTATGGGATGGCTGACTGTCAATCATTTGTCGGCTGCAAGTAGGCCCTCACTCCCACATTTACAACGTCAAAGGTCCCCCGTGTAGCCTACATGCTGTTGGGGCAAGCGCTCTTAGCGAGCATCTCGTGATGGTCACATCGAGATCCATGGGATCATCGTGGAGAGCCGCAGAGATCGATAGGCTGCAGCCATTACACACAGATCCGTAGACTTGCATAGAGACCCACAGGCTCGCATAGGGTATATATGGATTTTACTCAGAGGAGACCCATAGATTATACTATCATAGAGACCCATGGACACACGACGACGGAAGGGGGGTGAGGGTTGTTATCAGCATCACGCCCGGCCGCATTTGTCTTCCCAATATTGACCTGTGACAGGAAGTCGTAGATGGCATCTGACTCATCGGCCTTGCCTGCATCCCTCCATGGATGTTAGTCTTCGGTGGGGGTATAAATAACCTCGACCACCACTCCTCGCCTCTGGTTGATGGGAAGGCGAGCCCAAAGTCGCCTGGGGCTTACAGCTTCCCACACCTCACCCCCACGCTCCCACGCCCCCTTCATTATTTTGTTCAGAAGAAGAGCCATTCCCAGTTGTTTGGCAGTCTCCTGCCCCGAGTAAGGACTGTCCACCCCTCATGGTGGCAGGAGCCAGAGCTGGTCCACCGGACCTCCTGAATGCCACAGAGATCCAGGCGGACCGG